ACGAGGCCGGTCCATGATCACTGCACAAAGACGGCATTCCCAAGGCACGAAGATGATTTTTGTTTTTTTTTACGTCCGTAGCGTGGGCTACCGGACAGGATCACACTGTGTTGTCTTCGGATCGGTGCAACTTTTCGCTTCAACTTGCAACCTGACTGACAAATCAGGCAGTCGCCACTTCTTAAACGAAGGAATTGGAGCAGCACTTCCAAGCTCCAAGTCCGAACTCCCAAATATTCTCGGTCGTTGAGCCTTAATTACACCACACACACACACACCTGAAGCCCAGAAAGCGCCTGACATCTTCGAGTGGGGCCTTTCGGCTCAAAGCTGGGACGTGGCCCCATCTTGGGGCTGACGGCCAGCAGCTCGGCTAATGACCTCTGCTCTGCTTGCCCTCAGGGGTTCGAGAAGGGACCAAGGTGAATGGATTCTTCCCGGAGCCGGGCTAGGCTGAAATGCATGCTTTAAGACTTTAAGATCTACCACAACGTATCATAGTATACCACTATATTGTAGTCTCAGGCTGCGGGCACCCGCTGCCCTAGCGCATGGGATTTGGAGGGAGGTTGGAGGCAAGTCAACTTCAGCACAAAAAAGGCCGTGCAAGTCTGTAACCTTAAAGTCTTAGCAGCTGAATAAGTGCACTTTACACTTGTTGGGATAGGGTTATCCCCTATAGAACTGAAAGTTTACGGTTTTTTGGACTGATGAACACAGCAACTAAGAAACGGACGTGCTGCCCTCCAGCAGTATGCCGCGGTGAGCCCATAGTATATATAATATACCCCAGAAGCCCTATTCGAATCATAAAGGCCCTTGTGTTACGCCTGGGCGAACCTTCTTTGCTTCAGCGATTCAGAACTTGTGTATCTGAGGCAAACCTCCGTCTTTGAAGTGAAGTTGCATCCGCCCCTTTGTCAGCAGAATTCCATTGACAGAAAGGTTGTAGGGTTTAGGGGGTAGGGTTGAAAGACTACTGAGAGTGATTCCAGCTGAGTATATTATTTGAGGCCCCCCTCCGGGCACAGAGTCCTGAAGAAGTATCCCTGACCAAACATTTTGAACCTATCCATTCCCTGGACTCCTTCCCCTTGAAGTTTGCAGTTGCAAAGTTGCACTCAGGTGGGCTGTCTGCTTTGGATACAAGCCTGCTTGATCTTGTGGGCACGTCGTTTGTCCCAAATCTTACGTCGCTGTTGGTTTCAATCCAGGAGTTGTCAGCTTAAAGCCTGCTGTGGTCTGATCCCTAATATAGGGGCTTTATGATTATCTATACTATTTCGTGGGTTCCTTATCATAAGTAGGTATAGTATAAAATATCCCAAAACGCTATTCTAATTGTTAAGGCCCCTACATTTTGCCCGAAACCGCAAACCTAAACCGCCGTCCCTAAGGTTCTGCCAGAAAGGCAGAGCGAGAGAACCCCGCCCGCAGTCAGAAGCTCTGGATGGGTATGTTGCTTGTTTTCCACTGTCAGGCATTACGACAACTCTAAGGTCGTAGAACCGCCTCTTTATCAACCCTCGAACCAACCCTGGTTTCAGACTGCATAAATTGTGGTAGAGGTAGTTGGAGGAGCGTGTCTGAAGCCTGCGGAGGGGTTGGGGCTTGGTGTCGGTGGGGGGGGGGAGGGAGGGAGGGGGTATGGCTGGAGCGTGTGGTTGGAGGGAGGGGTGGGCGGTCGGTGCGTGCGGTGTAGTTGGGAACTGGGCGACAGCACCGTTGAAACAAACCTTTCTGACAACTGAACGTAGTGTAAGTGCACAAACGAGACGTCGCAACTTCACCTGCGTGTACTTTGGGTGTTGCTATCACTTAGGGGTACTTAGAAATAATTTTTAATCTTTGGCTACTATAAACCCCAAGAAGCAGCTAAAATTACAATTTTTGCAAGGGGTCTAAGTTCAGTATAGATCATTTGTCTTCGCCTCCTTGTTGCTGGACCTTGGTCCATGCCTAGCTCCAGGGGCCAGTGGTAAATCCTGCTTGGAGGGTCGGGGGACTCAGCAACTAGTTATTACTATTATTATTATAATTAGAGAGTTTACTATTATTATTAGTATTATTATTATTAGAGAGTTATAAGTACCATAACCCCAATTAGCATCCTATCTAGGGTACTTATATAACCCTACTAAACGTCTACTTGCTAAGTCCCCTGACCCTCTAAGTGAACCCTTAAGACTTGAAAGCCGTTACCCGTAAGCTCTTGAATCCATCCTGTCCCGAGCCCTGAACCCCGCAGTACTATATACTATACCATATTATATGATACTATAGATGTTGTATTGTATACCCTAAACCCTAAACCCCAAACCTATAATATAATACTGTATAATCATATATGACAGCCTGCTCCAAGTCTGCTCAGGATGTTGACGTCCTTGCTGTTGCTGCTCCCAGGCCACCCACATCTCGATTTGCAGTTGTGTCACGCAGTTTCCTTTATGGGGATGGTTCAGGCTCTAAGACTTTGCTTTCATTTTCGAGGCTCTAGGGCCTAGGCCCGCGGCCAAGGCTGAGGTTGAAGCGTTCCGCACTGTGGGCCCCAATTCGCAGACTGGATGTACTAGCGGTCACTGGCGGAAATCGGGGCGGCTCTTGGATGCTTAGCTTCAGAGGAGAAGCCGAGTTATTCTGGGCGGCTGGGCAAGGCTTGAACCCTAATTACTGGAATCACTTTGCCTCGTCTTTGGCTGTTGAATGAGGATAGTCTTATCACATCATGGCTTCTTGAGTAGTCTTCATGATGCTGGGGTCTCGTTGCTGGAGAGGACGACTCAACTTCACAGATGCCCGCCAACATTGGTACCCAAATCAACGCTTGTCCAACTTGTCCTTGGAAGGTTTAGCCGCTTCGACATCTTTGCGGCAGCATGCAAGTGATTTCTCCACGCGAGTTCACGAAGTGGAGGCCGGCGGCACAAAGGAGGGTGCCTGCCCAAAGTTGTGCTAACTCCAAAGTAGGATGTGGAATTAGGCCGTCCTTGCAAGAAGTGATAAGGTGATAAAGGCTCTTGTGCCCTCAACTCCTTCAACGCTTGCGGGTTTTGGCTCGGACACATTTCCTGCATGGGCCTCCTTCGCACAGACACTCAAGGGCTACTTGCTATTATGACTGCACGAAGCATGCGCAGCTGAAGCCTACAGCCTGCGATGCTTCTGAGGTGTGGAATGCACCTGGGAAGTTTCAGATTCGAGACCACAGAAGTTGACAAATCTTCAACGGGCGAACCTGAAATTTCTCTTAGCAAGCCGTGCAGCTGTGGCATGTCTTTATGTCTTGGGGGCGCTCTGGCCAGGAAATCCTCCTGAAGCCTTCGGCGTGGTCGATCTACCCCCCTCCACCGCTGCCACCGCGATTCCTCATCGTCACGAGCCCACAGGATATCAGGGCTCAGGGTAAGGGGCTTATCGTTAGTACAGTCCCTGAATGTTTAAAGCTAGAAATCCTCCGAGAACGCTCCACATAACTCGAAGAATTCGGATGCCTCCAGGAGCTGCGGTCATATCTCCCTCAGCATAGCCTGAACAGAGGGGGAAGCCAAGCCAAGCACTTGCACATGTCAAGGAGCGCATTGTCAGCTATTCACAGGCCTTGCAGGGTTTGGGGCTGTATGTGTTTGCAAGGTGCTGGAATGAGATGGGGAGCTGACAAAGCGAGAGCCGGTCAGGTTCAGTCGAGTGTCAGGGGCAGAGATTGACAGACTTGGGCTCCAGAGGTCAAAGGCGGCAGCATCCGAGGGTAAGATTTCCCTGGCTTATTTTATAATTGATACTGTTTTGCGCCGCATGTTGTTTGACCCTTGGCACAGATCGGGGACGACTACTCCGCCGTCAAAGGCCTGGTCAAGCCATTGATCCAAGGTGGAGTTGCGCCTGGGCTGCTTCTGGTAGGACGCACAGAATGACCGAAAGACCATCTCGCAGCGCCGAGTGAAGATTGCCGCCATGTTGACTTGATGTGTATGCAATGCTGACAAGGATCTGCCCAAGGGTGTCGCCTTCGCCCCATGGCAGCAGCAGCTGGTAAAAGTCTGAAACCAAGGCACAGCACGGTATATTTCTTGTTGTTCTTTTACAGTAGTCGTAGTCGTCGTAGTAGTACATAGTAGGAGTAGGAGTAGGAGCAGCCGTAACAGTAGCAAGACCAGTAGCAGCAGCAGCAGCAGCAGCAACAACAACAACAACAGCAGCAGCAGGAGCAGGAGCAGTAGCCGTAGCAGTTAGCAGTGGAAGTAGGAGTGGGCGTAGCCGTAGGAGTAGGAGGAGTCTACTACTACTGATTCGTGTTTTGGCTGCGACTGTATTATATAGTACTGTAGTCGCCTGCCAAGGATGCGCGCCACAACCGCCTCTTTGTAGCGGATCCGGGCCTCAAGAGGACCCTTTTGCTGCACGCCTCCAGGGGCGGAGCTCGTGGGGTTTTAAGTCATGTGATCCACCGGAACTTCTTGCAATCAAGCTTGCGTCGGATCTTCGTGGGGCTTATGTTGTCTCGTCAGATTGACATGCCTGAAGTTCAACTCAAAGCCGTGGCAGGATCAAGGCATGGACGCTTTCACTGGAGCGCTGCCTGTCGCCGGCAGAGAAGGCCTTGTTAGTTTTCACTGGACTTCGACTTTCTTGTGCAGCAGCTGGTTTTTTAGGCTTGTAATCATTGTAATCACGTGAAGCCGTCCGTCGTATGGCACGTGCCTTTTGCAAGTGAAATTGACTGAAAGCCGAGCCTCCCGGAAGTGTGAGAATTAGGAATGCCAGCAAGTTTGTAGCCCCCAAAGCGAGGATAGAGATTCCTTTCCCTGTCCTCCACGCTTTGAGGAGCACAGCCAGCCACTTTAAAACCAATTACTTGGCTCGGCATCCTTTTATACAGCGGCCGTGGTGGCTTGGCCCGCCGTGTAGAAGCCACCGGCCTCGATCTTTTGTGTTGAAGCGCCCTTTCCAGGATTTGGGATATCGTTAGTCACGGCCGTCCCGGAGTGAAGCAAAGAGGGATGGCGGATGTCGCAAGTTCACTCCAGCTGCAGCTATCATACATGGTACATCTGACCTCGAACCAAGCAGGCTAGAGTTATCAAGGCTCACTTCAGGGCACCTTTACATGAACAGGCCGGTCTCCTCGGCACTGGAGCTTCGTCCGACCCATTCGTCACCGACGATGCCGAGGGGCCGACTAGGCGACCGCCCCGCTGCCAGGGAGTTCAGGGTTTTGGGGTTGAGGGTTTCGGGATTGAGGGCTTTAGGCTTAAGGGCTTACAACTTCTCAGCATGCGATGACGAAGGGGCTTGAGGGATTAGGGTTGTTTGGGGAGTCCTTTGTGGAAGGTTTAGGCCATGGGAACGGAGCTTTGTCTTCAATGGAATGCGGGTGTTAAGTTTTTGTCTGAGAGATCAGCACGGAACTTTCCGCACCAGGAGCGAGTATCATGTCAGTTATCACACAACTCAACGGACGCTTCTTCAGGCCAAGTGCATGTTATCGGTAAAGTCAATGTGGCAGCGACAGTCTCGACTTTTGCTGCTATTTGTTGCTGACGTTAATCCCCATGCGGGTGTTAGATGTTCAGGAAGGCATTCAGAACCAGCTGCTAAAATAGTTCGGGTTTATGGTCTGGCTATGTTGGGGTTTCAAAATCGGGGCAGGTGTGACCTTCCCTGGACTTTGAGGGCAACCGAGGAGGTCACAATTCTGACGGAGACCCGGCACCGAAACGGGATTTTCAGAAGGTAGGAACCGCCTAAACAGGCCCCCCTCCCCCCCCCAAATATTCAGGAACCTCGATGTAGCCCTCGGATGCGTAGTGAAACGCACAGTTGGCGGTATCTAAATGACAGCAGTGCATGGAGAAGGACATCCTGATACTTGGGAGGTTGCTTCAAGTCGTATCTCTGGTGTGAAGTCTGGAGAAGTCAGCCCAAGAATCTGCTACGCAGCCAGTTCCTATGCCTATATGTGACTTCACGATGCCGCATGACGGGGATGATAGGACTTCGCATGATGATGCCAGATAATGCTGCTCTTTGTAGTAGTATCCGCGAGGACAGCTTCGACATGCAGAAAAGGTGCTTTGTGACTCTTACATCAAGCTGCGCTAGCAAGGATGTCTTTAGCGAATGGGTCTCGCTGGACCACAACGGCAACCTCTACTACTCGGACCAAGATCGTAAGTCCGTGAACAAGATCGAGGCCGGAGGTTTCTCTTGCTGGGGGCTTTAGGGTTCAGGATTTGAGGCGGGCAGCTTGGAGGCATTAATTTCAGAGAGACCTCGTTCAATTGTGCTTCTGCCGGCTTTGGCCTAAAAGCCCAGATGAAATTATCTTCTTAGTTGCAGATCGTTTGGAGCGTAGGCAAGTGCTCCTTGTGGACTTCGATGTTCAGCTCCTCGGTTGAGCAGCAGTGTCCAGCAAAATTGGGCGGCTTCGGCGGGTGTTAAGTGCCAAGGGCACGCCCAAATTTGAGCAAGTATGTGAATATTATCCCCGATGCAGTGGAAAGTATCTCGTCGCGAAATCCTGAGTACAGTAGTGGACCGTGACACTTGGTGCAAAATATTCTGGAAAGTAGATGCTTTAGCCGGAATCCACTGATCGAGCAGTGAATCCCTAGCTGACATTTGAATCTAGTCTTATACTTGGACTTGTGCCCTTTCGTGCAGTCATGCAGATTGGAAACACATTCCAAAAACAGAAGAAATCAGCAATGTCGTTGTGAGGCTGCAGATGCTGACAGGCTGACAATACATACATTCTCGCACGCACAAACATGCATGTATGTATGTAGATGAAGAAGGTTAGTCATGGATGGATGGATAGATGTGTGTATGTGTGTTTACGACTGAGTGCCCTAGGTGCATACCTCAGATACTTGGCAACACAAAATTGTGCATACATGCACGCAGGCTGGCCTTTTGCTCAACCTCGTCCACGGCGAGGCCGGGCCTCTTGATGAAACACTGGCCGCTAGTTTGGTATTTGTTTCTCAGCTCTGGTTCTTGGTCATGGTCTTGCCGCAGCTTCTTCTGTTTCATTTCTTGGTTTTTGTTCTTGTTGTAACTGACATACTTCACACTTTAGATTGTCTTAGTTGCTTGTTGTTGTGGTTGTTGTCGAGGATGGTGCTGCTGGTGCGGGCGTTGTTGTTGTTCCAGCTGCTGTCGTGGGTTTTGTTGTCCTTGTCTTCGTGGGCTGCTGCTTGCCGTGTGTTGCTGTGATGGTTGCTTGGGTCTTCATGTGCTCATGGGTGTCGAAGCCGATGGGCCAGGGCAGGCTTACTTGCGAAGGTGTCTGGCTTGCTGCAGGTTCTACTGACCGTCTCTGTTTGTGCTCCATTTCAACTATATTTAGTTATTATGGGCAGTATGTAGGACGATCTCGAGTTTGAGAGCTGTTCGATGCGCCTGAGGTACAAGTTTTCGATGACAGACTCGAGACCGTGCGGAACTCCCAGCCCCGCGAGCCCGGCACCCCCAAACTTCTGTCAGACAGCCCCATAATAGCCCTCCGAGAATGCAATCATGCGACACAAAGAGCCCAGGTCGTACAGAGCAAACCAGTCGGCTGAGTCTAAACCTACCCTCACAGGTGGCCCCTAGCGATGTCTCACGCCGCTCCGCCAGCCGTGCTGCTTCGGAGAAGCTTGTTGAGGACGGATTGGCATGAGGGTGGGTAGCATGCCAGGCTCGACTTGGTAATAACGAATCCCGTCACACGCATCGGCCTCAGTACGGGTTAAAAAACAATGAACGAATGACTAGACCGTCGTATCAGCTGGGAGACTTCGCCAGTAAGCACAAGGAAAAGGTATCCCAAAGCCATGCATGATTGTCTTACGAAAATGGAGCACGCACCCAAAACCAATCCCGGAGACTGATTTGTCGGGTGCGAGCTTTGGAATTGTTGAGCAAGGAAAGAGCTGGCAATGCACGACATGAAAGTCTCGCATAGAATATGCTGCATGCCGTGGTATAGGAAGCATTCGCCCAGGATCAAAACAAGGTCCACCATGCATAAGACTTGCCTAGGACTATGTCAGTCCCCCGTTAGATGTCACATAGTTCATCTGCCCATGGCCCAAGTTACATGAGACTTCAAAAGTCTCGTTGCGATCTACTTCCGCCAACTGCCTCCACTCGGTGCAGGAGGGGAAGCAGGCCATGCAGATAGTGGACAAAGCTCGTGATCCATTGGTGCCCTGCCGGTCACTGCACACGAGTGGGCACAGAGGGTTCAGACGGCCAAGACCCAGAGTCGGTTGTGTAACGTTTGGTACTGCACGTTACTTCTTCTTTCCTCCTAGGGTCTTGTTGAAAATAGTAGTAATAGCGCTACTGCAATCTGCCGGATTATTGTTATTGTTGCTACTGTTACTATTAGTTACTGCGAGTACCACAGTATCTATCAGTCTACCATTTCTATTATTACGCTTTGAATGGTTTTATGCAATGATGTTGTATAACAACAGTTGCCATGCTTGATAAGCGCTTCGTGCGGCTGCTATGTCTGGGTTCTTTCAAACGGCTCTTCAGCTCAGGGTTTAGGGTTTAGGGTTAAGAGCTTCTTAGGGCTTGAGGTAGAGCCAGGTAGGGGTTTAGGGTTTAGGGTTAAGAGCAGCAATTTCCTGACCTTTCCCGGCCGACTCTCCAAGCCCGGATGCAAAAAAGGGATAAGAGCAGCTTAAGGCTTTAGGTAGGGCCAGGTAGGGGTTTAGGGTTTTAGCCTTGATGCAAAATGGGTACGGCATCGGCTAGACTTGGGGGTTTCCAAAAATAGGGGGTACCTTATTCTTAGGGTACTTAGAAATAATTTTTAATCTTTGGCTACTATAAACCCTAAGAAGCAGCTAAAATTATAATTTTTGCTAGGGGTCTAAGTTCAGTATGGTATTCTGGGGTCCTTATAATAAGGATCCTATTATTTGGGGTACTATATTAGGGTCCCCTATTTTCGGAAACCCCCACTTGAGTCCAGTAGGAAAAAGGGTACGGCTTAGGGGGTTCAGGGTTAAGAGCGTTAGGCAGGGGATGGGGGGGTTAGGGTTACACCCAACCCTGGCACCCAGCGAACTAGGGTGACGCCAGACCAAAGAGTTGAATATTTCCGGTGTTGTTTGTTAGTTTCGAGGTGGCTTTGGGCTAATTGAAACTCTTCGAACCCATGATCTTGAATCTAGACCGAGGCATTTGCTGCAGACCCCATGGGGAATGCCGGGGACGGCCTCAAGGCCTGGGTGGGCGATATAACATAACATGTATGATGTGTATTTGTCTATACTACATAAATGAATATATAGTAGACGATATCTAATACATGTATAATATAACATATAAACACCTTTGGGTTTTAGGTGGGGGAAATAACACGCATTGCTACCACAATTACGCTGTCGGGCTACCATGATCTGCGCCTCGTGTAGCTTTCACGGCTTGCGACTATGACAAGCACTGTGTCATTGTGATTCTTACGAGTATTGTTGTGATTCGCTCTGTCGTTGCGATTATGGCTGGTGTACTTATGGTGTCTGATGATGACCGTCACCTTCTCTCCTGCTTCCATGTCGACATCATCAATATAACCTGGTATGATTTAGGCCGGCACGGCCTTCAGGCTTGGCATTGCTGCTGGAAGGTTCAAAACGCGCGTACACTAGGCCCCAAACCACAAAGCCTCAATCCTGAAGATCTGGAAATTCATCCAAATCTTTTGTTGTTTTACTTATAGCATACATTATAGTATAGTCATGGAGGCCCCTCTTTTTATATTGCTGTCCTTTTGCAGCCGAAGGCAGGTGCGGAGCTGATGGGCAACATGGCGAAATCCGCCGCGGCATCCGGGCGGCAACATCAGAAGCACAGGCCAACGAAAGCCGGATCGTTGCACAGAGCTTTTGAGAGGGGGGTTTTCGAAAATAGGGGGGCCCTAGTATAGTACCCTAAATAATAGGATCCCTATTATAAGGACCCCCAAATAAGGTACCCTAATTTTCGGAAACTCCCATAGAAGTACATGCAGAAGGAACACAACCCTCAAGGCATTGGCACCGGACTTGCCTCTCACGAGCGTGGGAGACGCTTCCGTCATGGAGCTATTCCAGGCCTCAAACGCAGGGTTGGGGTTTAGATGTGTGATGCGCTTGTAATGGAATGCCTCGGTGTTGAGACATGAGCAGAGGTGAGGAGCATCGGAAACCTGCAGCAGATGCGATGCACGTCTCGGTCTACAAAGTTCCAGAGCTTTTCTTCGTGTTTCCACGTCCCATATTTCAAGTTTACAGTTTATATACAGATGATACAGATGAAATAATTCCAAGGGCGAGGCTGTTTGCAGCCGGTTGCCTATTGCTGTTTCCGCATCGTGAGTGTGCGGTTGTCCCTGTCTCATGCGAAGCTCTCCCTGATGATAGCCCTTGCCGCACCCCCCTTTCCCGAAGCCACTCATAGTACCCCTATTCTAGCTATCGATCGATCGTTCTTATACATACCGATCTAGTATACATATATATATATATATAAACACATATACATATATCTGCATATATATATATATACATATGTAGGTAGGTATATGCGTTTACACACACATGTATACATAGATACATGTGATGTCCTGCATCTCGTGCGGCTCCAGTGACTTAGTGGAGAAAAGGAGGTCCTCGGGTCGTAGGAGAGTGGCTCAGAGCCATGGGTCTGCTTGGCATGGAGGCCAGCCAGGGCTCCCTGGCAGCAAGATGCAGTAGGGCTATGACAAGGGGCCAAGGCTTCCTGGAAGGCTATTAAGAGGGGGTACTAGAAGGGTTGCTGTAAGGAGTACTATGGGGGTTTGGGGATAAGTCCGGGTTTCTCAAGTTCTCTTGGATGCAGTTAGTTGGTGACCTTGCAAACCTTATCAGGATCAAACGTCCCGTGCTGGCTGCTGCTTTACATCGGTTTTAGCACTGCGTATGGACCAGGGAGCTCGGGGCCCGCCGTGTTAGTCCAGTCTCGAAGATGTGTTTGGCTCTGCAGTGCTTCGGAGGGCAAGCTGTTTTCAGCTGAGGCTTCTTTATGAAGTTCATGGCTGTCCTGTTCTTCATCATGACGCCGCTTTGGCGGCATGTGATGCGGGGCAGTCCCAGGTCCACCTCCCTTTCAAGCCGAGGTTCGGGCAGATTGGTCAGCTCGCCTACTGCTGGCTCATGGCTGGGGGTTTGCTATGGGCCTTCCTGTCAACCTTCGGCTTCGAACAAGATGACATCATTGCCATCCTGGCTGCGTTGGCCGGGCTACGCGCTGTGCCTTTCTTGTACAAGCGCCTCCTGACCCTGGTGGCCACCTATCCCCTGTCCCTGACCTTCAAGTTCGCCTCCCAGATTTTGCCCAAGTACACCATCGAGGAGGCGGAGTTCTTCAGCTGTGATGGTGCCTCGCCCGAGGTGGCAGAGCGAAGGAAGAACTCCATCAAGGAGCTCAGTGAGAAGTGGAAGAAGAAGTACCCCAAGTGCCACGAGTTCTCCGTGGAGTTGAAGAAGATGATCTCAGACCTTCGCTTCACCTCTGCTAGGCGGCGAAGCCAAGAAAAGCCTGGGGTGTACAGTTCTTTGTAAGGGCAAAGCCAGGGAAGAGTTGGTGATAAAGATCTCCTTTCAAACATCCCGTGCTTCGATCCCCCTGTAGGTGCTTCCCGGCCTTCAACGGCGTGGTCCAGAAATACCTGGATCCTTCGATGGCCCTGGATCGCACCGAGGGCGTCGACGTGGTCGACCTCGAACCTGGTCATGGTCTTTAGCCCGCCCTCTTCTGGCTCGATATGCTTTGGCTTGTCTTGTTGAGTTCTGGGCGTTGCACTTTGAAAAACAAAAAACATCGAGTGCACTAGTCGCGAGTTTCCGATACCTAAGCCCTACATCCTGTAGACCCCGAACCCCCTCAACCCTGAGGCCAAAACTACAATGTAGCCTTGCCGCAAGTGGCGGGACCATGCAGTAACAGTCAGTTTGCCACAACCGGCTGCAGCACGGAAGCCCGAGTAGTTGCCAACAGTCTTTCTTAGGGCTCCTGATTACTATAGTTATACTAAACACGGAACCCCAAGCCCTGTTCCAAGCAGGAAGGCGCCTCATAACTATGTTACTTGTTTGGTTCTTTCGATTCGCTGCGTAAATCGAGAGCAACCATTCAGCATGCAATGCCCATCATGGTTGAGTTTGTTTTTCTTGCCGGGGTTCCTTACTGAAAAACCGTGAAACCTTACCGCCCTGAACCCGAACCCGAGGATCAAAACAGTGCCATGGACATCTCCGGATCCTATGGTGTCAATGTCTGCGGCTATGAGAAGTACAAGGACTTCATCGAGGAAGGATGGTCCAGTGCCAAGAAGCAGGGCCACTCGCCGAGCTGTTTGAGTCACGTTGCTTATCTAGGGTTCCAGACGGATTCTGTAAGTCTATAAGGGTAGAAAGGGTATATTGATCAGCAGTGTTGTTGTCTTCTTTTTCTTGCTGTTGCTGCGTAGTTGGGTATGAGACACTGCCCTAAACTCTAAACCCTGCCGCTTGCGAGTGCGAACGCCGAAACCCTCAGCCCTTCATTCGGGCACACAGGCATGGAACTTATGGTTGTTGGACACTGGTGTGTCCCTCATGTCGTCGTAGTAGCATGAGACGCTTCGCCTTGAAGCCTTGCCTGCCTCGTGCGAGTGCGAGTGTCGAAACCATAAAACCTTGTCAAGCGCAAGATGGTTGGGTTTGGGAACATGCACTTTCGCCACACTGCCTCTAATTCTTCGGGTGGGTTTTACGTACTGGGGGTTGTTTTCGCAGTGGAGTCTTGTTACTTCGCCCTCGGACGGTGCGACCCTTTCGTCGCGCCTGGATTGTCCGAGTTTTGAACGCCGAAACCTTTAGTTGCAAAGGCCTCTTCCTGGGCTCGCTGGACAATATCGTTCTGGACAACATCGCACGCTTGCGTAAGGTCTCTGGCCAGGATGAGGTGTCCTTCCACATGTCTGGCACAGAGGCGGATGGACATGCAGACTTACTCGCTGTCTTGCTTACGTAATCAACCAACTGATACTGTAGTACTGCCTAAACGAGTCAATGATTTAATAAAGTAGTAGGATAGGCAATTAGGGCAGTACTTTTTCAGCGAACTGTTTCATGAATGAGTTGAGCTCGGGATTGGAGGGGCAGGCATAGCTACGGAGCCTTGCATCAAAAAGAGAACCAAGTCATAAGTTAAGTTGGTTAGTCAAACAGATACACATAGTGAGTTTGTCAGTTCGTCAGCTAGATTGTTGATTAGCCAATGAGTAATTTAGTTATTGTCAACTGAACATGTAGCATGTGGTTCATACAACTAGGTATGCATTTACTTATAATGTCATGTAGTTTAATGTAATGTAATGTACTGTAATGTAATGTAGTGTATCGTAATGTAATGTAATGTCTGTATGTATGGAAGGGCCAGCCGCCATCCATCCATCCATCCACCTACCCACCCATCCACCCATCCGCCCCTCCACCCGTCCACCCGTCCACCCAGCTAGACATGTATGCGAAAATGTGTCCGTACTCCATGCATGCAAGCATACATGCTAATATACGCATACTTGTAACACACAGCTAGATAGTATGCAGACCAGGCCGACTGAGACATAGACACACAGAGGCAAACACGCAGGCAGGCAGACAAGTAGACTGACAGGCAGATATGCTGCATACAAGGGTATCTCATACGCAGTATTCGGTATGAAGTCACTTGCTTGCATATTCGGCTTCAGCACATGGATGACTTTCCTGTAGTCAGGTTCCGAGCACACGGCCAGGTTGCCAGGCGGTGTAGGGTTAAGAGACTTGGTGTTCAACTTCGCTGAGAAATTATCCATGTTTATGTTGAAAGCTTGTCAACGGACAGAGGAGCCGAACGCGTCGTTTGTCCATTGCATTCAAGATTCAGTGCTGTTTGCGGTTACTCGGACTTGATTGAGCAGGCAGTGATGTGCGCCGTGCGTGTGGCACGCTTCAACACCAAGAATCCTGACCGCACTTGATCTGCAAGTCGCTTCCGCAAGATCCAGGCGGCCTCTAATTCAGCCATATTATTCCGACAGCATGAACTGGTCTCACATGAGCCATTTCGCAAATTCAAAGCAAGGAGTGCCCCGGCTTCATGTTGGCTTCAGAACCTCTCAGCCAAAAATCACACAGCCTGCCTCCTACCTCCTTCGTCAAATCAGGAAGCCACTGGTCGTAACCTTCGGTGGTGCTTACCATGGCTGGTGGGACGGAATGCAACCTGTGGCCGGTAATGAGCCTGAGCTTGCCTGTGGGGGCATGGTGTTTCGGGCTTTGGCTAACTTTGGTTTGGGGTTTGGACATGTCGGTTTCGTAAACATACAAGTCAGGGCCCTTCTGAACAGGTCCTTATCCGGAATCTGCTATTTGTGGTAGTGTCCGTCGGACTGACTTGTCAATGACCCGGAGACCTGGACTTTGGAGGTCTAGTGCTCCAGTCACGGCACACTTCAACCACATTTTTGTCAGGGCACTGGACCTTGTGAAAGTTAGACTTGATGTACGGTCAAGCACCAACCACATAAGGCCCCGGTCACAGACTTTCGGTTGGTGTTGCTCGCCGCTGTAAAAGTAGCGGCTAAGCTAGTTGTTTTGAAATCAAGGCACTCGTGAGAGAGGGCGAATACGAGTAAACAACTACCAGCAACAGCACCACCACCAGCTGCAGCAGCATCACCAGCATCGTTTCAGTCATCGTCATGTCCAACATTTACTCCTACGACCACTGCAAATTCCACTACTGCACTACTGCTTCAGTTTGTCTTGCCAGTTTTCCCACAGAGAACACTTAGTAGCAGCAAGACTAGTGTCAGCGCCGTACAACCGGAACACGACGACCAAATGACGGTAATTCTAGGCACTCTGACCACCGAGAGCGTCCCTTGTAAAGCGACACTCCGGTTGACCGTGCAATAGTATGCAGGGTCTGGGCCATCTTCCCTGCATGCTAGACCCTCCACCAGCCAGATAGTGTTTTTGTAAGGGACAAGGGCAAGACTCAGGAGCGGTTGCCACAGGACGTGCTTTGCTTGAAGGATATGAACAACCTGTCCTTGCAGGCCTGGACTTTTGCATCATGCGGCCATACAGGGCCTTGTGAGGGTTTGAAAGGAAAAGGTGGCAATGATTACTACAAGGACCAGTTGATGCCGTGCCTCAACCAAGTGCTGAAAGACTATGACTCGCTCACCCGAACGATCCAACATGTGAGCATGTGGCAGGTGATTCAACTTCGTAGCAGCGAGATCGCCGCGGTCCTCGTGAATCCCCTTCAATGCTTCCATCTCAACCAGTCTCCACCTGGCGATGCTGCGTCTTGGCTGGCGATGTGGCCTGGTCGTGGGCCAGCATGTGTATATATATATATATATACATGCATACATACATACGCATGCGGGGTCAGCGCGCTGACGTTGCCATGTCGGAGCCAAAAAATACATACACGCGCGCACACACACACACTACACATATCTGCACCTTTGTGCTAGCAGCAGCATGAGCGTCTGATGCTCTGTGCAAGAGGTCTTGTCCACCAACAATCGCAAAGTGGGTCCTACGCCAGGCCGGGACGTTTAATGCATAATGTTGGCTGGGCCAAAGGTGCGTTTCTGTGTGGTAGCATATATACAAATATGTAGTTGGTTGACAGCTTTGTCGAGGGCATCATAACAGACAGGGTGTCGAGTCAAGCAATTAATTAGAGTCTCGAGGCCGAGGTTCAGACTCCGAGATGATGCATGATGATGTTCTGTCGTTTTGAAGTCGCTTTGTCATAGCCAGAGATTTCATGCCTCGGTTTCTCGAAGAAAATGTGTCAGCTTTGTCGGTATGCAGCTCAGGCATAAATCAGAAAAGCCCCGTCCAACAGCATGCCTGTGAAGAAAGAGCCCATGCAGGTTACAAAGAGTGGCTGCACAAGTTGAAGGAGACCTGCACCAAAGCAGGCGTTTGCCTGATCTTCGATGAGGCCCTGTCGCCTGTGTTCGGACAGGTTTACACAGAGTTGCCCTCTTTGTGCTTTTGGCGAACGCCCTTCAGGAATGCCTTCCAGATTCACATTGAATAAGACTAGGAGTTATAAATAGGGGCCGGAACAAGTGGTCATAGTATCCCCACATGGTTCCTGTTTGCTTATAGTACAATCTACCGCGACACCCTGTTCAATTTGTTGAGCCCCCTGCGGCATGGTATCGGTTTGGAGCAGCCGTTTCCGAGAAGCCTCAAGCAAGTAAACTCGTCATCGGGCAGCCTGACGTGCTTCCGACTCCTGAAGACATCATGTGTGCCGTTTTGTGCCCGTGGAGTTTCTGTTGAGCTTATGTTTGGGCGGTTATCGCTAGAACCAGCACATCCACGAGACTTCCATTCGTATCCTGCAAAGCCTAAAACCTTCAGGCTTACACCCTAACAAGCCGTACTATAGGGGCCTAAATATCAAATAAGTATAATAACAACAAAGAAACAATTACAACAATCACACCAACCAATAATAAGAGGCAGCCCTGAACCGAACACCCTTCAGGTTTACACGGGCTTCCGCCTTCATCCTCGAGGAGCACAGGGTGCCTATGATGTGAAGGACGGAGAAACATAAACCGCCACCTTTGCAAGGGTTTAGGGTTTGGGGGTTTTGGTAGGCTTCTGAAGCATGTTGATGGCTAGTGCTGCTATCTTGGTCTTTTTGTCTCAGTTTATATGTTGACGATCGTGTTGGTATAATTATGAAGATTGTTACCATGCCTTCTTTCTGGCGCGTCTGTTTCATCCCATTTTCGTGCACAAGGGCGAGGCATCCGTCTGAGCAGAGTCCTAGAGTCCAAAGAAATACTGGAAGTTTGTTCAAATTCAAACTCGGTTCACTTGTAAATCACACTGGCAAGGGAGGGAAGAGAGGCCAGAATTCAGTTCTGTGTTATTCGATTCTGCCTTATTGTATAACGTTTTTCCCTTGTGTTCTATGATGCATTGTAGTGTCGTAGTTCATTGCTCGTGTGGTTGGTTCCATGGTGTCAGCAAGAGTCAATAGGTGGCTGTCATTGGCATTGGCTACGGCACGCTTGTTCGTTGCTTGGCACGGCCGTGGTTGCCGTGATGACGTTGGTTGCTTTTGTTTTCCGTATGTCGAGGTTGAGCCTTAGATTCCATATCTTAGCCCAGGCTATTGTGCAAAACTGTGGCCTTTGGTAGCACAGCAGAGCATCGAGAACAGCACGAGAGGGAAAGCAGCAGCTACGAATATCATTCGGTGTAGTCGAAGCTCGTGGCGGAGCTTGATTTTGAGAAAGGTTTGGACTTGGCCAAGCTTTGGTGCTTGAAATCCATCCCGTTTGTATACCATGGTAGATGGGCGTGAGTTTCTGATTATATTTCTTGTATATATATATATACACATATGCATACATATGAACTAAGAAGAAGGTACCGGTGTGCTTCCGTACATTATTTCGGTCTGAGGCTGTCGTATGTCGGATTTGAGAGAGTCCGAGAGCCAAAGCCATCCTGGCTTCTGCCATGCGGGAGACAAAAAAAGGCCATCCCGGAGCCAAGCCATCCCCAAGTCGGCAGTGCCAAGCGGCAGGCTGACATCGTTTGCTACGGGAAGTCGCTTGTCTGCCCTGGCTGTCTACTTTGCTCACGCCACCCGCAGCAGCAGCAACAGCAGCGGCAGAAGTATATACAGAGCAAGCACTGCTTCAGAATCTGCTCGAGGTTGGGTCCGGGGGGGTGCAGCTTCTTAGGCTTACAGGTTTTTCGACAGGCTCCACAAGTTCGCTGCCATGCAGGCTTCAGAGAGGCCCAGATTCTTCGCACATGTTTTGGCCGGATGTGAAGCAGGCGGAGGTCGATTTGACCACCACACCAAAAGCATTCTGCCCAGCCCTAGAAGCTACTGGTAAGAGCCTGACGGCTGAGATTCTTAATTTGGAAGTTTGCCGGTGTGCTGAACTCAATCTCAGCTAATGGTCTGAGGGCTTAGGTTTTTGGTTTAGAGGCTCAGGTTTGATCGGGGTGCAGCCCTAGACACTAAAGCTAACAATCCGAGGGCTCAGATTCTGAATTTGGAGGTCTTCTAAGGGGAATCTGTCTGTGTTGCAGCCCATGAGGTCCAGATGTCAGGTCTCAAGTTCTCAAGTTAAAGGCGCAAATGACGTGAACTATCGCAATGTGCAGGAAGATCCAGCATTCCCGAATTCTGAAGCAATGCGTTCAAAAGCAATAAGTTTTCCTCGGCTCCAGCAGTGGTTGTTGTCGCTTTTACAGTTGTGGCAGCAGTAGGAGCTGTAGTTGCAGGACTGACGATTACTGTGCCACTTGTTGTGGTTGTTGCTGCTGCTGCAGTAGTCGCAATCGTAGTCGCAAGTCCGTTGTCATTGTTTTCGTCTCTATCTGGTCGTCGACGTCGTTTTCGTCGTCGGGGCACTCTTGATTGCGTTGGTGTTAGCAGGAAGAACCGTTTGATCAGTTCCTGTAGTCTTCTGGTTTGCCAGCTGCAAGGAACACAACACTTGTACTTGCAATTTGCAACTGAAGGCGTTGCTCTGGTTTCATAGCGCCGCGCAACCTTGTCTTCACGGCCGTGGTGGTCATGGTGATATGACGTCGGTTGGGAGGATGAATTCAGCCATCACAAGTGAGGAAAAGGAAACGGTAGTGATTGTGGCGAGTATGATTGTTATGATGACGATGAGGGTGGTGGTGGTGGTGCGAATGATGGCGGCCACAGACTGGTAATGGTGTCAGCGTGATGATGATGATGATGACGACGACGATGATGAGCCAGTTGATGTATTTACTGGCACCACCATCACCATTATGATCGTCGTAATCATCAGCAGTTGCTTCGGTCGCGTTGTCACGGTTTCGGTTGTGACTATGTGGTTCTTAACGATTCTCACCATGAGGGCGATTCTGTTCTCAGCACATCCTGAGTTTCTAATTCGCATGATCGTAATTTTCTGCAAGGTTTGACTTTCCAGCTGTTATTCTATGGTTCACCAGAAGTCTTGGAAGCCTGGAGCGCCTAGGACCCTCGGTGGCGGGCTTCCTATTGGCGTGGTGTGCGGTCCCAAGGAGCTTATGGCCCGTGGAGACGCGAAGAAGGCCGGTTCAGGGATCACTGAAGCGTTCAAGTGAAAGGCTTGCGGGCATATCAGCTTTTGGTGGTTGGGTTTGCGGGCGACGTCTGTTCCCAGAGTTGGAGTCATTACGCTCAGTCCGGATTCGATCATGTGGTTTAGCATTCTGACTATCTCAATGTGAAACTTGCCAACGCAGAAGGTACGGCGGCATCAGGTCTAATTCGGATTTTTCAAGGTTTCGAGATTGGGAAGACGTGACGAACATAATGCGTCTCTCCGTCCAGGTGCGAGCCGCTGACTTTGAACCGGATCACACTTGAAAGATCGTCCTGGATCTGCAAGCATGAACTTGTTGCAAAGCTTCGCTTCACATCTCTGGTATAAAAAGCAAAGCAACTCCACTGTAGTCGATGCAGCAGGCAGACAAGAACATGGCGCCAATGACATCGGAAAACTTTCGATGAATACTCTTATGACCAGCATGACTGTGCTTGGTGTTTCGCCTGCTACTGCTGCTGCTCTGCTAGTGCTACTGCTGCTCCCACTACTCCTCCTGCTCGTCCTAGTCCTAGTACTCGTAGTACTAGTAACTATTACTAGTACGTGCCTACGACGGCGACCTACTACTACCACCACTACCACGACGACGACCGCCACCACCACCGCCGCCGCCACCGCCGTCAGGACCACCACCACCACCACCAACACCACCACCACCGCCACCACCACCACCACCACCACCACCACCACCACCACCACCACCGCCACCCCCACCCCCACCCCCACCACCACCACCACCACCACCACCACCACCACCACCACCACCAAGTCACCACTACGGCTAGAATTGCAACAACAACAACAACCACAACAGTAGCTACTATTACTAGCACCACTAATTCCGCTGCTCGTGGTAGTACTAGCACCCTGCTCGCACTAGTACTAACACGACTGCTTCTGCCGCTGCTGCTGCCCCTACTCCTACTCCTACTCCTACTAGTACTCCTACTTCCACTCCTACTACCACCACGGCATTACGACTACATTCATGACACTGGCCACAACGGCGACGACGGAGACGACGACTACCACTGCTTGTTACGTTTTGGGCGGGGACAAACAACACCAGAAGCATCACCGTTATTGACAACAATATCATCGTAACAGTGATGCTGGCCAACATCGCAGTGACTTGACGTATAAGTCGTAGCAATCAAACGGGTTATGTGTGCATGGCTGTCTGTGTGTATGTGTGCACCTATGCAACTGAGTGCAAACTGTATGGAACTGTTTGTAACTTTTTGCAATTGTGTATGTACGTATGTAGGTATGTGGGTATGGATGCATGTATTTATGTATGTATGTATGTATGGATGTATGTATGTATGTACGTATGTATGTATGTATGTATGTATGTATGTATGTATGCATGTTTGCATGTCTGCTTGTATGTATGTATG